TAATTGTGGCAAATGAAGAGTTAGAGCCTGTAAAAACGTCCATGTGATCCGCTAGGCCGATGCACGAAGGAACTGGAAAATATCAGTTTCTGTACCAGAGTCAAAGTATGGCTGGTTAAAAATAAAGAGCTACGCAGCAGCGGCCTTGGGGACCACGGAGTGATTGGTGATGGCATGACCATGCCTTGTTGGACTCAGATAGGATCAAAATCAGGATCATTTGAAGGTTTTTGACTAAAAATGACGCAAAATAAAAGGGAAAACTCGGGCCTAAGATGAGAATATGAAGCTGAGACAAAGAAAGATCAGGCAATGCGTACAACGAAAAATCACTTTTCTGGGATTCATGCTTCTCGAAACTATCGCAGAAAATGTCGTTGCGGCAAATTAGTCAGCAATAAGTGGGTTTGGGGTTAGGTTTTGGAAGTATCAGACCAGCCAAAGTGGAAATTAGGCGTCTACTGAAGGCTGAAAGGGGTGGGTGGGGAGGCTTGTGTGTGACGAAAGGGCAGACAAAAATGCCAGTTTCACCTCAAGAATGATTTCATTCAATGTCGGTTCCGTCTCTGCTGAGAAAGAGGCATCCATCTCGTTTAGATCGTTGAGGCGGTCGGACTTGTTGGCGCTGCCACCGCCGCTGCCGGCAACGATGGCTTCTAGCCCCGGTTGCTCGGTGGCCAGAGCATTTCGAAGGCCCAGATCCACACTGATCCGTTTCACAGTTCCGGGTGCGTTCTGTCCATTCAACTGGAACCCCTTCGCCACTTGTGACGAAGACGCCGCAGTCCGTGGATCCACTCCGTACCCAAGAAGACGCGCTTCGTCAGAGTTGGCGGGTCGATAGTCTATTTCGTCGGCGATCCTAAGGATGTCATCACGAAGGGCTGTGTACTTCTCGTAGAGAGGCAGGTAGCGCGCCTCCAGCTCGTCCTTTAGGCCTTCCAGCTTGTTTATGCTCAGCTCGTCAGGAATCACTATCGGCGGTTGGGGAGGGAAATAACAGTCTCATTTGCTTGCCATCCCCATCACAACGCGCAATAATTTTAATTAGAATTGAGTTTGAGGAAACAGACAATCTGGTTGAAAGTGGACTGACCTTATTTTCACAACTTAATCGTGTTGCCAGGGTTACCTAATTGGACGCATCTTATTGCAAGTCCTCTGTCATAGTAGCCATGTTAATTGCCAACAATGAAGGGTGGATTTGATGCATTTCCAGACTTTTCACTGACTTCATAGTCGACATCGTCAGTGAGTCTTGCCACTCCTAGCGCCAAATTATTACTCGTCAGGGAGACAAGACGAGTTGTAGGCTGGCGACTGCGATGCTGCTGAGACGTCCGGAATGCGCCAAGTCCATGCTCCAATGCTGGCAATTACCATAGCTACTATGGCAGAGAACTTCGAGTACGGTGCGCCCAACTGGGTAGCCCTGACAACACGACCAATGTTTGAAAAAGTGGTCAAACCATTTCTATCCAGCGAAAGGAGATTGCAACTAGAACAGAGGCCACAAGCTAGTTGGCTTTCCTATCATCATCTCAATCAGAGTTACATTTAGGCCTACGCACTCTCGGCCATGCTTGTCCTTGGTCCATTAAGCTGTATGATTGCAATTTGTCGTGTTTTAGTAGAGTTTCGAGACTACCAGTCACCCTGGATGAGACAACTTTTGGGAAAGCAAGGCAATGTGAAATTCAATGGAAACGTCAGCTCTACTCATAGCATTGTGGGAAAATTCTTCTTCTACCAGTCCTTGATCACCTTAAACGAA